GGGGGGGCCCATGCCCCAGTTCTGAAGAATATGAAGATTGAGCGATCAAATGCTGCCGAGAGGCTGAGTCGGATGAGGAGAGCGGGTGGCGATTCGATTTGTCAACATGAAGGATGCCAGTGATATTGACAGTGCCACTCGGGATGGAATGGAGGGAGCAGCTCGGTGGCAGTGGGCATAAGAGAATGAGAATGAAGAACTCAAGCCTGTGTGTGAGTCATTAAAACTTGGCTGAAAAGTATGGACAAGAGGATGACTTCTGTTCGCCTGCTTTGTCCTTTTAAGGTGGAAGATACTGAGCCTCTTGGTATGCTGAGAACAATCAAGCAATGAGAGGAGAGAAGAGAGAGAAAGCGAGAGAAAGACACTGTTTCTGTGACAAGGACAATGAGAAAATTCTTGAGCAAACCCTGTGCCTCAAAGCACTAGGCTTGTCTTCGAAAAGGAAGAGAGACTTCTTTGAATTATGAGGTTGAGGCACAAGAAGCAGCTGATATTTGACTGGTGGTTTGTTTTGTTTTCCTGGTCAAGCACATCAGCAGTTTCTTATGGTTCAACTTGACAACAGAGGGGAAGAATGAGAAGGTGGCTGTCGATACAGGTAGGATTATAGCTCTGTGGTGGGAGATGAGGGCGTTCACCTCTGGCGGCTTTAATTGCCTCACAACATACGAGATGATGCCATCAAGGAGGAGTGAGGATGGAGAAGGAGATGCGGGGAGCTGGGAGCGGGCGGAAAATCTTCGGATGTAAAACAGGAATGATGGTTTCTCCTGCTGTGAGGATGAATTATTGACTAGGTAGCACGAAGCAAAGGGAGGCGCAGTCCTGCAGTTCCAATCTCCTCTCCCCGGAAACTGCAGGCAAGGCTTACCCTGCCCACCTCCACGAGGTTGGTGACCATGACGATGCTGGCCGAGTTCTCCTGCCAAACCATTCTCCAAAAGTCCTTGACCGTCTCCTGCATTGGGCCTGTCAACAGAGAAGGGGGTAGACATCAGAGGTGGAGGGTGCAGGAAAGCAGGCCTGGGGTTGTATCTTCTGGTTAATTAAAACTTCACATCGATAAGCGAAAGTGAGGCTGGGAGAGGCTGGCTAGCATGGACAGTTAGCATGGACACCTAATGGGGCCAGTTCAGAAGATACCCATCTTCTGAATAGTGAGTCCCATTCTAAAATTGTAGGACCTGTAGCATCCATTAGGAATGCTAACATAATCTCTTCTCTGTCACCCTCCTGGCCAGACCCTTTCCACGAGCCTCACTTTCCCCAGATCCATCACCTGGTATGTGCCATATGATCTTGTGTGGTTTAGACAGTTATGAGACACTGGGCTCTAAAATCCCAATGGGAGACAAGAAGGCAATGGGGGTGGGGGCAGCAGAGCAGAGAGCACTAATAAGAGATGCCTGAACTTGAGCTTGACAAATCCTAGAGGCATTTGTTTGGGGCCTGAACTGAATGGAAGTGTTAACAACAACAACAAAAAAACAGGAAGCAAGAAGAGACAAGGAGAGGCAGATAGGATCTAATAGTCCAAAGCAATTTCCTTGGAAAATGGCTCTTGGATGTTTTCGTCTCTCTTTCAATGTCCAGGGACTTTATCATTTTTTAAAGTTCCAAAAGTAGTACGGATACTTGACACACAATCTATACAAGCCCAAAGACTGCTCTTCTGAATGCACATCCTATCTATTCTATGCACATTCCCATGTCCTCGGAAGTTCTTACTCAGCCTGCTATTTTTCGTCATTACAGACTATTCTAGAATAAGGAGACCCCACAATTTATTTAGCCAATTTTCCAACTGTTACAATTTTAAACGTTTTTTTTCTATTCTTGATAAGATTGTGAAAGGGTATCTTCATACATAAATCACTGTCCATATATATAACTATCTACGGGATCTTCCCCAGACGGGCTTGAAAGGGCTGCCCATCTTTAAGTCTGCTAATTACATTCTGCCAAATGGCTTTCTTGGGTGGATGATTGCGCTTTCCTGGTCTTGTACCACCCAGGGAGACCAGGGGCCCCTCAGCGCCCCCTCTGGGTGGTAGATTTTTGTGCAATGGGCATGAGGTTGGCGTTGGAGGTCTGCCCTGCCTCACCCTCTTCTTCCCACACATTTCCTAGTGACCTGTTTCACTCATGTTCCTCCTGGTGGAGGCTCCTAAGGATGCCTGGTGGCTTAGTGGGTTTAGAATTGGGCTGCTAATCACAAGGTTTATGGTTCAAACCCACCAGCTGCTCTGCGGGAGAAAGATGAGGCTGTCTGCTCCCATAAAGATTGACAGCCCAGGTGGGCAGCTCAACTCTGTCCTATAGGGTCGCAGTGAGTTGGAATCAATCCCACAGCATGAAGTTTAGTTTTATTTTGTTTGGGTTCAGAACTGAACTAAAAGACTTGGTGACACAGCTGGTTAATTGGTTTGGCTGTCAGCCACAAAATGGGCAGTTCAAACCCACGAGCTACTCTGTAGGAGAAAGATGAGGAGGAAGCCTGTTTCTGTATAGATTTACCACCTGGAAAATCCTAGGGGGCAGCTAGGGTGGCGATGAGTCAGAATCAAAAGAAAGGCAGTGAGTTTAGAGTTGAACGTGTACCCTACTCTCCTTCCCCTCAGACAACCTGAAGGGCCTCTTCCCGCTCTCTAGCACACCTTCTGTGGATTCTTAGCGAGTGGAAATGCATTTCTCTCTCTAGTGAGTGTCCAGGGCCCTTTGGTACAGAGGGAGCACTAGGGCAGCAGGTATAACAGGAAAGAACAAAGTTCAATGTCACCATTCTCCTGAGAGTCTCCTTCCCTGGAGCCTGGAGCCCTTGAGGGGTTCCTGGGGGCACAGGGGGAGGAAAGACACTTACCTTGCGTGGCAATGTAGTGGCGTGGCCGGTGGTATCCCTGGATAACAGAAAAGCAGAGTGAGCAGCCTCCCATCAAAGCTGGCAACCAGCCACTCTAATAGCCTTACGTCTCGCCACGCTGTGGGGCCCTCAAAGGCCCAAGTGTGGCAAGTAAAATCATGCATGCAAAAATAATGCTGGGAAACTCATTCCCTGCTAGGTATTGCTTAGGCAGTTCACCCTGGGGAAGCTGGAACCCGGGCCAGGCCCCAAGCTCTTAGAGAAGAAAAACTCAAACACAGTGATTTCGGGCCTCTTTTTCTGGGCGTTACCACCTCTCTGTGCCTGACAGGGTAGCGTCACCACTTTCTTCTTGCCACTTGCAGTGGGAAAAATGGAGTGTTTTGCCTTTAACAGGTTTCTGCCTGACGCAGGCTCCCTGTGTTTGGCACTGAAGCCAGCACTAGGAGAGGGGTGAGCCCGCACCCTTTGAAGGGCAGGGAAATAAGGCAGGCCCATCCACCTCTGGCTCCCACAGCTTCTACTCGGGTCACCTGTCAGGGTACCTGCAGTGCCCATGCAGACTGGACCAGGAGGGTACTTTCATGTACCTGGGCCATGGGATGTGCCATCTTACTCTCCCTCCCCAGTGCCGGGTGTGGAAAACGTTAGTTGGCTGAATACATACATGAGTGGGCTTTGAGGTGAGGCTACAGTTCACACGTTCAGGCTGGACGGCTGAAAACCCTCTGAAGAAAACCCTGGTTTGGAAGGTTCAATGTGCTGGTGAGTCAGCGGACTATAATCCTGCGTGGAGCCAGATGCCCGCGCTTCCACAGTGTGTGTACATATGTGTCACTTGGCTATGTAGCATTCGCCCAGCAGGGATGGGTTGGGGCCCTATGACTGTTAGCAGGCCCTGGGAACCCACAAGTGGCAAGGCATACATGGACTCTGTCTCAGGGTGGCTTTCGGATACCAACAAGTAAAGTCAAGACGGTTCCTGGAACTTGGGCTCTCATGGGGAAGAGGTGGGGTTTTGTAGACCACCCATAGAGAGGGTTTTGAGTTAGGCAAGGAGGCCAGAGAATGTACCCGGAGGGTTGGTGTTCCAATCCGCATCTTAAACCCAGCCCGGGCACCTCAGTGTCTCTGTTGCTACCCTCCCACCCCTTCGGGAAATAGTCTTGATTTCCTTCTACTCTGCCCAGTGCTCACTGGTGGCCCCTTCATCCCCAAGAAGCACAATGATGTTTCTGTCCAGGGGTCTTGGGGAAGCCAACACTCTGTCTGCTGCACTGTCCCCAGCTACCGTGTGGTTTCCCTCCAACTCCCTGGGGGAATCCTTCCCTCACTACCCAGTGGGTCAGTGGGTTCTTCCCATTTTTTCTGGGTTAGCCCCACCACACACACACTGTCTTTCAGGGTACTGATCACCAAATAAGGAGCCCGTGCTTGGCTGCTAACGGAAAGGCGGGCCGTTTGAATCCACCAGCTGCACCATGGGAGGAAGCTGTGGCAGTTGCTATGGCAAAGATTTACACCCTTGGCAATCCTATGGGGCCGTCCTCCATATAGGCATGCTCTGAATTGGCAGGAACTAGATGGCGGTGTTTAAATTTTTTATTTTAATTACTAAATGGCATACGAGTCTTCCTTTCTGTCTCTATGGCCCGTCTCCTCCAATGGGATGGGACCCCTAGGGTGGGGCTAGATTCATCTGGCTCATAGCTGTGTTCTCAGCATCTAGAAGACTCCCGGGGCCATCAGCCTCAACAAGAACGTACTGCATACCCAAACGCAAGAATGCATGCGGAGTGCCTGTCCCCATGCTGTCTGGGAGGAAAGAAACCCTCCCTGGCCTCCAAGAATCCACACAGTCCCCAAAGAGAAACCGTTCTAACCATGAAACTCCTCAGCACTACAGAAAATGTACTTTTCAATTGAGGTGCCCCTAAGGGTTTGTCAAAAGCGGGTACAGAAAACTTCCTAACCTTAAAAGAACTTTCCTTTCATTCAAGTCCCACTTATACAGCACACAGAGATGCTGCAACCCAGCACTGGGCCTCCCTCCATCTGTCTCTGAGCAATGGGAGAGGGCTTTGTATCTGAAATGCATTTATCTCACTCTGCGCTCATGCATCTGTTACTCACTGGGGACCCAGGCATGATATTTATTTCCAGGCGGGTAATTTATAACAGATTCAAGTGGCCAATACATTCTGGGGTGTGCAAACAAACCAGCCAGGGGGCTGGTTCCGACCGTGGCAGCACCACGGTCTCTGGAGGCACACACGGCACTGGTCCCTCCAGCTCCTTAGCCAAATGGAGTCGTTTCCAAGAACTGTTGAGAGCCAGTTGGGGAGAAAGGGTTTGAGTGTGGGCACTTTGCTCATTGGAGGGCTGAGGAGGATGTGGGATGGGTTGGAGACTAGGGTAAAAAGAATGAGAACCTGGACAACTGTCCAGGGTGTATCTTTCCAGAAAGCCCCAGAGGGCCTGGAGGTGCTCTTGGCTTTCTGGAGTATGTAGTAAACTCCCTCGTGTTGTTCCGCGAGCTCCACCCACTAGTGGTGACACGGGGTAAGGAGGCACTGGTGTTAGGTATTTTTTCTTGGACCCTCCATCTTCCCTCTCTTCTTTCCAGCTTGGCTTTCTGCCTTGGAAGGTCGACTGTGTGGACAGTCCCATGAGCTCCTCTGCCTTTTAGCTTCTCAGTTGAGCTTGGCCAAATGGGGAACAGAGCTAGGAGCTCAGGAACTCGGGGGAGAGGGAGGCTGGGCGTGTGTTCTTCTAGGTGGGCCCTGGCTAGATCACCAGGGTTGGCTGTGTTGTTCTACCAAAAGGTTTCCGCTTCTACCAGGCAGACTTCTCCTTACAGTGAGTGGCTCCCCCCTCTTCTCATTGGCCTGGGATTTGGGAGAGCTTCTGGCTGTGCTAGCCCTGGAAGAGTGCACTTCCACTTGAAGGGAGCCTCTGCTTGCTCTTGGGATTCTGACAGGTGCTTCATACACAGTATCACTTCCCTGCAGGGTGGTGTTCTAGTATCCCATTTTGCAGCTATAAGCATGAGTGAAGAATTTACTAAAGAACACAAAGCTAGTAGGCACAGAGGCCTTGTCTCAAGAGGCCCAGCAAAGCCTGGAGCCACGACTTTGGTCTTCTTAGCTGTTCACTCTAAGCGCTAAGACCCAGCACAGGGCCCAGGGTCACCTATGAGGACGGTATCTAACGGAGGCTATTGGGTTTGTCTGCACAACCTACTTCTTAAGAGAGAGGGAGGAGGTGTGTTCTGGATGGGCAGAGAACTGCATTCGAGCCGTATGATCTTGGGCAAGGCTCTTAGTCTCTGACCCCTGGTTTCATATCTTTCAATGCGCCCCAAATGCGCTGTAATGACAGAACACGACAGAAATGGGAGGCATTATTCGTATTGATGTTGGGGAGAGTCACTGCATTTAGGGCAGTTTCATCTGTTGCCCATAATATACCAACATGCCTTTTGGCTCTGGTTCCAGCCAAACACTCACTCACCTTGGGCTTGAGAGTTTATCTTGCAAGTGACCTTCTCTGGGACTTTCTACTCAATTCAAACCCCAGCCCCCAGTCCCCACCTCATAGCTGTGTAGTCCTGTGTGGTCCTGACCTCTTGAGCCTCAGTTTATTCCAAGTGGGTCGCAGTGGCCCTACCTGATAGTCATAGTGGTCATTAAGGTACATGGTATAGCAGCTAGCATAAAGCCTGACCCGTGAGAGGTGACCAATACTTCTTAGGCTACAATTAATTAAACCCTGTTGCCAGCTGGCTCTGACTCATCCGCTACAGTACGTGCAGTTATCATAAGGTGACCAGACGTCCCGCATTTGGTGGGACAGTCCAGATTTTTACCAATTTTCCCCCGCGTCCCGTGGCATTTTTAAAAAGTCCTGATTTCTGGAAAGAATGCACGACAAGCTAGAGTATATGGTTTTCAGCTGCCATGTGGCTATTTCACCAGGAGAGTTTTATCAATGGTGTCCCGCTTTCCCAACGTTAAAATCTGGTCACCTTAGGGTATCACCTCCTCCAGGAAGCCATCACTAACCACTTTAACCGCAGGTCTATTCTCTACCCCAGGTGCTGGTTCATCTTTATGCTCCCACAGCACCTGCTCTGTGAAGGTCTCTTCCCTTATTCGACTTCCTCAATGACTGTGCGTTCCATTTCGGCGTTAGGCACCTGTCGTAACAGTCTCTGGCCCACAGTGGAGGGTCTGAGCAGAGCTTGTGAAGTGAATACTAGTTGAATGAGGGAGAGGCAGAAGGCAAGGAGGGAGGCGAGTGCTGGGGATCCCTGGTCCAGCCTGGAGACAATCGATCACTTTGTGGACTTTGCTAGAAACTTGCCCGGGTTGGCAGTGCCAGTTCTTGAGACCCTTGTGTTAGGACACCCTTGGGGCAATAGAAACTGCTCTCAGTATTTCAGACAGAGGTCATCTAATATAGGGGGCTGGTTCTAGATCAAGTGGAGCTGAGAGGCCAAAATCAGGTTAGCGAGAATGGCCACAGCAAGGGGCTAAGATCATCCCTAAAACAAGCAGGAGAAGGGGCCCCCTAGAGAGTTGGAACCAGTGAGGGCCAGCTTGAGGGACGCTGGAGGGCCCAGTGGATGCGACCACCACTGCGGGAGCCACCACCAAGGATGAGAGAGGAGAACACCACAGCTGTCTCCCATCAGGGCCTCCCAGGAACTCAGCCAGAGAGTGCCAGGAGCCTGGGGAGTGCAGACCCACCCAGGAGGTCTTAGTGCTTCAATGCAAAGCAGGGGTGCGTAGGGGGTGGGGGTGGAAGAAGGAAGGGATTTGAGGACAAACCAGCAAATGGCCACTTGTGGACAGAAAAAATACATCCTGAGTTAATGAATCATCCAGTTGGGCTTCACTTATGGGGAATTAAGCATACCACCGTGCTCTGTAGGCTGTTGATAAAAGCACTGTGAACAATGGGGGGCCCCTTTGTGAGTCTCAGGGCCCCCGGGCTCCTGGATATGAGGCTGAGACGTCTGGTTCCATCAGACTGGTTTGTCCATTTGCCCCAGAGGCCAGGCTCTCCCTCTGCAAACCCACAGCCCACAGGCACCTCTCCACCTTGTGGCAGCTCCTGCTTAAGCCCACTCCTCTCTAAGTAATTAATCGTCAGTCTTCTCCTCCCTCTGATCTATCTCACCCTGACGGCATCACATCATCCCCAAACTTAACTCTGAACTGGTCACTTTCTCAACCAAAAACTTTCAATAGCTTCCTCCACCTTAGAGGGTAAAGTTCAACAGTCTAAGTCTGACTGTGTAAGCTAGCAGTTCTCAACCTGTGGGTCTTGACCCCTTTGGGGGGTCGAATGACCCTTTCACAGGGGTCACCCAACTGATAACAGTAGCAAAATGACACTGATGAAGTAGCAATGAAAATAATGTTATGGTTGGGGGTCACCACCACATGCGGAACTGTATGAAAGGGTCACGGCATTAGGAAGGTGGAGAACCACTGGTTTAGACCGTCAAATGACCTACTCTGACTTTGCCCCCACTCGTCTCTATTATGTAGCCTTGGTTACTCCCATGGACCCCTCGAGGCACCGTGGAGTAAGCACTGGGCTGTGAATCACTAAAGTCGGCCATTCAGACCCACCAGCTGCTCCTCGGGAGAAAGGTGGGGCTATTCAGCTTCAAACAAAGATCAGTCTCAGAACCGGTTGCTTGGCATCAGCAGTAATGCAATGGCAGTGGGTCCGGTTGGGGGTTGGGCTCCTTGCACATCATCCATACCGCAGTGACAGAGTCTGCTTCCCAGCGCCCTCTTTCTGCCTGTCTTCATCTGTCTAGCGCCCCCCCCCCCCCGACTTTCCTTTCTAAGTTCTACCTGTGCCTGCAGCTCAAGCACACATCCCATATGCAGTCCTGATCACACGGTTTTTCTCGCCACCTCTGAATCCCTGCAGCCTCTTCTCTGAACTTAGGACACTTACCACTCTCTAGCTTGCCCAGATCGATTGATGTGCACAATTCATCTCCCGCGCCGGTTTTCAAGGGCCTAGACAATAGTGTTATGTTTTCCCAGCATCCAACATCTAGTAGCCCAAACCCAGGAACTCAGACTCACTGCCATCAAGTCACTTCCGACTTCCAGCAGCCCTGGGAAACAGACCGGAGCTGCCCATGGCTGAGACTGTACGGATGCATGGGAGCAAAGCCTCGCCATCCAATGGGCACTATGAAATGTTCGTCACATGCATGGCTTTGCTCAAATGAAGGCATGGATGGCCAAACGGATAGACAGACGAGTGAAGGGGTAAATGAATAAGATAGCAGTTATCCCAGGACCCTCAAAAGCAGGTGACTCCTGCCGCACTGAAAGAGGATGTCGAGTTAGGACTTAGATCATCAACTTGGATTACAGTGGTGACACAAGTCAGGGAGGGGGTGGACATGTCCTAGAGAGGCCACCTCCTGGGGGACTGGCAAGGGGACAGCCATGAATCTGGGATCTGCTGGAGCCAACCCCATGCCACCACCCACTCACATCAATGTAGTTGGCGTTGATGTAGTCAGAGTGCGGGTCTCCGTCCAGCACCAGCAGCCTCACTCGGGAATGGTCATCTGCAGAGAAAGCAGAAAATAAGGGGACGGTTGATGAAAGGCCTCTGAGTGACAAGCCAGCAATGCCTGGCTCTGTCTTTTATAGCTGTTGTTGTTGTTAGCTGCCACTAACAACACTTGGGACAACCCACCCACGAGATGAGATGAAACACCGCCTGGTCCCAAGCCATCCCCGTGGTGGATTACCGTTTGGCCTGCTGGGATCTACAAGGTTTTCACTGACTGACTTGGTCGCCAGGCCTCCTGGTCTATCTTAGGGCAGAAGCGCCACAGAAAATGGTTCAGCCTCACAGCGAGGGGGGCAGGGTCACTGATGGATGGGTGGTAGCTGCACACGAGATGCACGGGCCGGGAATCGAATCCAGGCCTCCCGCATGGATGAGAAGTTGATGAGAAGTTGGGCAGTGAGCCACCATTGCCCCCTGGTGCCAAGTGTTATGCCGCGTCTGCACACACCCAAACTCAGGGCCATCGAGTCAATGCTGACTCATGACGACCCCCTGTGGGGTTTCCGAGGCTGTAACTGTTTGCTGGAGTAGAGAGCCTAGTCTTTCTCCTGCGGAGCTGCTGGTGGTTTCAAACTGCCGACCGTGAGGCTCACAGCCCAACGCATCACCACTACACCACCAGGGCTCCCTCAGCCCTGCACTCTGCTCCTACCCCTCTTTATGGACAGGGAAGTTGAGCCTCAGAGAGGTTACTTTGCCTTGAAAAGAACCATCAAGAGGTTCCTCTTTTGTCCACTTTCCTTTAATTCTGGGGTCACTACCTACCTGGGTGTCATTGAGTCTCAGGGATGTCACGAACAACGTGGGGACAAAGACCCCTGCTTCCTGGGGACAATGCGAGAGAGCCCCCAGGAAACCACTTGGGCGGTCAGCTCCATTTTCACGCTTGCTTAAAACCACTGATTTACCTCGTTTCCACACGTGCACACATTGGAGTACTGCTACCATTAGCTTGTCGGCCGCATATTGTTATCAATACTACCATTACACTGGAGCTGACTAAATCATTATAGAAGAGGTCATCTATAACTGAAAATGGCACTGCGAAGAGATCCTTTTCAAACACAATCCAGGCATAAATGGGTTTGCAAGCTTTAGTCGATGGCACGCTTCAAATAAAAACCATGACCAAAGGTGTGTGTGTGTGTGTGTGTGTGTGTGTGTGTGTGTGTGTGTAGGGGTGGAGACTAGTCTGGCAAGAGAATTGGGATAATACTCTACAATTAATTAAAGCCAGCTCTAACACGTTGTTAATTGACCCATGCCGAAGGAAGCTCCTGCTGAGAGGAGGGAGCTGAATTTGCAGCCAGGGTCACTGCACAGCCACATGTTGATTGCAAGGTCCCTGCGCTCACTGGCCAGGACAGGGACAGGTCCCCAGCAGGGGCTGGAGCGCTCTGGACATGCCCAAGGGCTCCCACAGGTCAGGACATGCTAGGCTACGTCCCAGCTCATGCTATGCGACTCAATGAGCGTTTGGCCGTTTACAAGGCACACAGGTGGCGATGAACTGACGCCTGCTGGAGGGCCCTCTTGTCTCCACTGTGCCCTGAGGAGGGCCTGGCCTGTGGCCGAGACTCACTTGGTGCTTGATAAACCCACACATTAAGGATGAACCCACTGGCATCTCCCAACGATTCTGGTCTAGAAGAAGGTGCCTCTGTGAGCCCCTCATGACAACCGAGGAAACGGTGGCCATGGGGCCAGTGAACACAGGGTTGGGACGAATAAGGTGCTCCTAAGTCTGAGTTCCAGGGCTCCTGCTTTCAAGAAGGATCAGAGCGAGGGAATGGAAATGACTCGTGAACACAGCAGAGGAGGCAAACCAGTTGGGCTGAGAAGCCCAATGGAGCCCATACAAGGAATGCAAAGATGAGCCAGGCCAGGGCGATGCTTGCTCCCCTAGGCCAGAGGGGCTGAAAGAGGGAGTGGGGTGACAGGGCAGAGGAGCGAGGGCTCCTGTGCTGGGAACTTGGGCCAAGGAGACTCCCTCACTATCCAAGAAGGTGGCCATGCCTGAGATAGCCAAGCCCGCTACTGAGTCAATTTTTATTCATCCTACTGTGTACAACTGCCTTATGGTGTGTGTGTGTGTGTGTGTGTGTGTGTGTGTGTGTGTGTGTGTGTGTGTATTGTTACTGGGTGGGTTTGAACTGCCAAATTTAGATGAGCTTCCTTCACCTGTGACCGAGACCCAACCCAAACCAAGCTCACTGCCATCGAGTCGGTGCCAACTCACAGTGACCTTATAGGACAGAGCAGAACTACTTCTGTGAATTTCCCAAATTGTGACTCTTTATTGGAGGCGAAAGCCCGGTCTTTGAACTGCTGGTCTTGCAGTTAGCAGCCCAACTTGTAACCACTATGCCACCAGGTTTCTGTGACAGGCAGAGGGGGAGAAATATCTTGGTTTCTCCCTTTCTCCCAGCTTGCTGTCTTCCACCAGTGCTTCTCATTGGCTAATGCAGCCAGAGGGCAGCTGACCACAGAGCCTGGGCCTCTCCAGGTGCAGGGGTGAGTTTCCCATAATACAGAGCAGAGCAGGAGAAGGGCAGGAGTGGGTCTGAGGACAAAGAGGCCCAGGGCGGGCAGAGGCAACCACCTCATGTCTATGCCTCCCCCCATTCATTCATTTACTCATTCAGAAATCAAGCATCTGCCACATCCCAGGCACTGGGCTAGACAGACCCTGGACGCCACTTTTCTTGTTCATCCTGGGGAAGCCCTTTGGTGAAAGCGAAGTGAGAGTGCCGATGGATATTCTAATACTGCTTTTGAGAAGGTGCGATGTTAACATTTATTGAGCTCCCAGTAAATGCTGGAACATTCTCTCACTCAAGCCTTTCTTCCTCTAGAGAAGCCTACAGGCTACTAAAACAGTACCAGAGCCTGGTGGCCTTCTTCTTCCCATTTCACAGAGGAAGAAAGAGGCTCAGATGGGTTGAGCGAGTTTCCCGAGCCATGCAGCCTATCAGCGGCACTCTGCATTCAATCTGAGGCCTCTCACTCTGTAGTGAGTGCTTATGGTCCAGGAGGTTAGGCCACCTGGAGCCCAGCCCAGCCAGGAAACCTGGTACTTCCCTCTGGACCCAGGGCAGCAACTGTGTTCCCTGGTGACAGAAACTGGTAAGCATGAAGCAAGTCAAATTTCATATCTCATTTTCACTCAATGGTTTCACTAATGACTTATTGATCGCAAAACCCTCCTTTGTTTATTCAGAGTGATGCTTACCCCTGAGGTCCGCAGCCTGGGGAAATGCAGACCTGGGGTCTAGAATGTTGAAAGGGATTTTGTTTTTTAAAGAGATAAAGTGTAAACATCTGACAACAGAAATGGCAAAACAACAACAACAAAAAGACAAAGCAAAAAGAAACCGGCTCATCTCTCCTGGCTAGATATCCTTCAGGAGGAACAGCGCCAACGTCTTCTTCCCTCTGTCTACTCATTCACATCAGGGTTACGGAGGCCTTACTGTGCTCCCTCGAAGGGGCCTGTGGCACTTACACAGTCTACCGGCATATTGAGGAAGGGGTGGAGTCTAGCCTGTCAATCGGTCACAGCTTGATGACCGCATTTGGAGGCACTAAGGAGCTAAAGAGCTCACTGGAGGCCAGATACACTCCCTCCCTGTGAGACATTCCTGTTGACAAGCCACATGGAGTTACGCTGATGGAGCCAGATTCCCGGAGCTAAAGGAGCCACATAGAGACCCACGCCAGCGCTGAGATGCTTCCACCACCACTGGATCCACAAGACTTTCCACCCACTGGCCTGTGATCTTCCTGCATTCGGCTACATTGCATGTGTTGCGTGAGTCTGAAGAGGAATTTATAGACTCGTATTGGACATACGGGTTAATATCAGACTGATGTACTTGATCTGGACTGTTTTCTCAATATACAATTGCTCTTTTATATAAAACTCTTTCTTATACATAGGAGTTTCTATGAATTTGTTTCTCTGGTCAACCTGAGCTAACACATAGGCCCTAGGTGACACATATGGTTAAACTACTTACTGAAAACCTGGGGGTTCAAACACACTGGGAGCACCTAGGAGGAAAGGCTTGGCAATCAATCGCCCCCCCCTCCCTAAAAAAAAAACCACACCAAAATCTGCCATTGAAGGTCCTTGGGAGCACAGTTCAACTGGGGCCACAGGGGTCAGTGTGAGGCGGAACTGACTGCAGGGTAACGGAGAATCTTGGGATCAGAAGAAGCAGAGAGAGAGAGAGTCAGTACCATCAACTCCACGAGCAACTGGGCAGGACAGGGTGGCACTGACCCGGTGGCTTCATATCGACATCACTCTTTCCTGGAGCAGAAAGCCTCATCTTTCTCCCGAGGAGTGCCTGGTGGTTTCAAACAGCTGAGCGCTGCGAGCATCAGAGGGTGAGGGGACCAACAACGGGCCAGGAGCCAGAGGAGGCGGGCAGGGTTGGGTGACAGAGTTGCCCACACCACATGAAGACATTTAGAGGCAGGTGGCAGATCTCGGCTGGCGAGGCATCTGACTACTGTTTCTCATTTCTGAGTGTATGGGAGGATATTTTAATTGGGAACAATCACAGGCCATTCCCACTGGAGCTTCCCTGTGGCAGGTAGGATACACCTCCAAGACTCACTGGCACGTACAGAGATCTGGATTGCATCGGCATGTAAATCCTAGCCCCATCACTCAGCAAGTCATTTGAGCTCTCTTAGCCTGGGTGTCCTGCTGGTATAGTGGTTACATATTGGGCTGTGATCCTTATAGTCAGCAGTTCAAAACCACTCGTGGCTCTGCTGGAGAAAGACTGGGCTTTCTCCCACACTCTGAATCAGCGTTGGCTTGATGGCAGCGAGTTTGGTTTTTGAGTTTTAGCCAGAGTGTCATTAGCAAAACAGAGCCTATACATGTCAAAGGTTGGTAGGAGAAAGTGAGCAAATGCAGGGAAAGAGAGCTCAGAGGCTGTCAACAGACAGATGGTTCATTAGTGTCGCTCTGGGGTT